TCAACTCTGTTTCCTGAATTGATAACATTATTTTCCTTCCAATTGCAATTGGGCCTTGAACCTCTCCTTGATTTTATTGTTTTCATCTTCTGCATTGAGTTCTGTCTTTGTTTGTGGCACACATTCAGGATCTCATCTTAGTGTATAGGTAATATTACAATGACTTCTCAATAGAGGTAGTTATCTGTTATTTTCTGGGGTCATTCTTTTCATTCTGTGATGCTTTAGACTCAGATCATATCATTAGCATGATCTACACGGCTCCATTTTCATGATTAGTCTTCACAGACTCTAGTTCCATCCTTACATTCCACATAGTGCGCTGAAGGCTAAGTTGAGTGTCATATAGGCAAGATTGAATTGGTGTTATTTTTAATTCATTCAGACACATTTGTCATTGTATTGTGGACTTTTATTTACACCAAAGTATTACTGAAAGGGAGGCGTTAACTTTATTAAAGAATGATTCCTCTATTCTCAGTCATTTTATTTTTTTTAAATTTTTTAAGATTTATTTATTATTTATTCAAGCACGGGGTGCAGTCAGAAGCACGGGAGGGTGCGAGAATTCACCAGAACCAGAGCGGAGAACAGAACAAGCAGATTGACAAAGTACACTGCTGAGGGGAGCAGTGGGCAGCATGAGAGGTCTGCACAATATGTGGGACCCTTGCTGGCAGCCGGAGATCTAACCAGCTCTGCAGAGGCTGCGGGCAGCTTCACGACCCAGCGCTCAACCGCTGTGCCACTGCGGATGCAGTATTCTCAGCCATTTTATACCCCATTTCCAACCTACTGCATCACTGTATATTTTTTGACCTTTTCTTATATGCTTTAATTCCTCTCTCCTTTCTTGTTGATTTCCTTCCACTTTCAGACATTTTGATGTTAATGGAGGTATATTGGTTTGTAATATTGTTTACAAACATTGTAAAGCATTGTCATCCAACCTATGTACACATAACATCAGTCTCTGTTTTCATTTCTTTTCCACGTATTTTACGGTATTTTTTTTCTCATGGGCATTCCATAGCATGTTGAATAGTTATGACAGTCTTTTCTAAAGTGAAAACCATGTAAATTCAGCTGCATACCAAAACTCCACTCTTTAACATTTCTACCCCTACTGACATCACAAATTATATCTCATGATATTTGTATTCTATAACATGAATCTATGATTTTTTTTGTGCCATATTTCCAAATTCTGAAGCAGAAACAATATTTTTACTATAGGGTTATATCTGTATTTGCTATGAATTTACCTTTCCCTAAGGATGTTACCTATTCATAAGCATGTGTGTTGCTGTCTAGTGCTGATGTTACCTATCCAAAATCATGTCAGGGGTCTTTATATGGTATTTATTTTATGTCTTAAATATTTAAAGTATTTTGTCTTGAGTTCTGTGTGTGGGGTAGTTATTCCTCGTTGTCTTCCTGCCCTGTCTTCTCAAGACAACCAGGTCTCCATGCCACAGTCAGGCACAGAAGATTTGTTGCTATATGTGGGACTGGGAGGAGATGGAATGGGCACCTTTGAGAATTTACAATTATTGATAGACCAGACATGTCAAGAGACATGTGAAGGGAACAACAGTTGTTGAAAATGAAGAGTCTCAATAAGGGACAATTATCCATAACAAAATTCCTCCTGTACAAAGTGATCCTGCGTGTAAACCATGCTGGGTAAAACTCCATTTTACGTCTGTTGCAGGTAGAGATAAATATGTTTCTGTTAGCAAAGATCCACGTGACATTTTTAACAAGACACAATCTCTGAGAAGATTGTTGGAACATATGGGAAGTCCCCTAGTACATAATGCTAATGATTATTCAAAACACTGTCATAAACTTTCAGTCATGTCATTCTCAACATCAGAGAATTATAAAGGAAGATGAAAAATCTACACAGGATCCTATTGAGGAGTCCTCAATACTTTTCCAGCATCATGTACTTCATGGGAAACTCTACAATTGTAAAGGATATGGCAAAGCTACCAAATGGTGCCTAAGACTTACTGAACATCACAGAGAGAAACCTCACAAGTGTGAAGAGCATGGTAAAGCCTTGTATTGGCATCCACAGCTGACTAACCATCTAAGGATTCATGGTGGAGAAAAGCCTACACATGTCCTGATTGTGGTAACACCTTCCTGTGCTGTGTCACCTTTCCCGACATCAGAGAGTTCACACTGGGGAGAAACCTTACAGATGTGAGGAATGTGGGAAAGCCTTTAACCAACTGTCAGCCTTTAACTATCTTAGCATCACAGAATTCATACTGAGGGGAAACCTTACAATTGTGAAGGATGTGACAAAGCCTTTAACAATAAGTCATGTCTTACTCGACAACACAGAATTCATACAGGGGAGAAACCTTCCAGATGTGAAGAATGTAGGCAAAGCCTTCTACCATCCATCACATTTAAGTCAACATCACAGAATTCATACTGGGGAGAAACTTTACAAATGTGAAGAATGTGGCAAAGCCTTTCACCGCAAGTCAAGTGTTACTCTACATTAGAGAATTCACATCAGAGAGAAATGTTAAAATTGTGAAGTCAATTTTTTTTACTTTAGTCTCTTTTTTTCAATATTTATTTTATTATGCATATAAGAACTGGGGTATCTGCCAGAGGTGGGGGTGTGTGAGAGTATTCATCAGAGGCAGAGTGGGGAACAGAACAGGCGGATTGACTGAAATAAACTGCTGAGGGGAGCAGCAGGCGAGACAGGAGGGGTCTGCTGCACCATGTGGGTAGCTCCCTGACCTGGAATCCAACTCGTACTGCAGTGGCTGCGTATAGCTACATAGGTTGTGTCTTAACCCCTTGTGCCACCAGTGAGGTCCCAACTTTGGTGTCTTTAACCAGAAGTCCAGAAGTTTAACCAGAAGTGTCAAAGTGATTAACCAGAAGTCAGATCATCCTAAACATCAGAGAGTGCAAACCAAGAGAAACTGTAAATGGAAAGTGATGAGTGGATTGTCCAAATATGAATTTTGAAGCAACCAGGTTTTCATACTGGAAACTTGAAAGAAGTGAAGATATGATTAAGTAATTAATAATGCAATTTAGATTCATATTAAGATATTGCAATACAGTAGGAAGTGAGAAACACTTTACATTCCTTAAGTCAGAAAATTTTTATGGAGCATAAGCCAACATTAAAACACTAAATATTAGAATAACTGAAAAGTCTGAGGGCCTTCCTGGTGGTGCAGAGGGTTAAGTCACAGCACTATGAAGCTATCGTTTGGTCCCTGGCCAGGGAGCTGACCACATGAAACAGCAGACCTCTCCTGACTTATCTGCTGCTCCCCTCAGCAGTGTGTTTCAGTCAATCTGCTTGTTCTGCTCTGCACTCTGTCTTTAGGGAATCCTCTCACCCCGTACACTTCTGGCCTACCCCTCTGTTCTTGTATGCATAAATAAATAAAATCAATCTTTAAAAAATAAATTAGAGTTCAAGACGATGGTTTGGGGCCCTGTATAGTTATTTTCTTTGTCCTTTTTTTAATCAACCATACTTGAGATATTGTGAAGAGACCTGATGAACATAATTCAGCCCTAAATCATTTCACTCTATGGCTTTCTCCTGGTATGTAGGTGGAGTCAAGTGTTTGACTTTCATGTGTCAAACATCTAAGGGACCCTCTCCAGTTGATGAGTTTCTTTACATCTCAATTGCTTGGGTACATTTATGATGGTGTCATGTATCATGGATGATGAAAATCTAAATGGATATGCTCTTTGTGTCTGACTGAACAGATTGATCTAAATCACCCAGAGGAGTGGTGGACTTCATTGTGGGCATACAAGTTAGACACGGAAACGTGCTGAAGTTCAACTCATTTCATCATTTTCTCCTTCAGGGAATACACTAACAGTTTATTAATATCCTCATGTTTCTTCATGGTAGTAATGGAGCCATGAATATTATTGGACGTTGTTGCCAACAAAAATCTTCACAAGCGTGTGATGAAAGAGCAGGTAAGCTTTTCATAACAGCGTAGAATTCTTGTCCATTCACATTAGCTAAGCAAAGCATCTTTATGTTGAACACCGACTCTGTGATCCAGATATCAGAAGGTCAAGATGCTTCTTAAATACCTGAATGTTGATTTTGATGAAATGTGTTTTGGTAGATGAATGTCTTATTTAGACTATATGTGAACTTCTTATGTATATTTTTAAAATTTATTCATACAAGAGCTGGGGTGCAGGCCAAATGGGTGTGTGTGTGTGTGTGTGTGTGTGTGTGTGTGTGTGTGTGAGAGAGAGAGAGAGAGAGAGAGAGAGAGAGGATTCACCAGAGACAGAGTGGGGCATAGAACAGGCCGACTGACTGAAATACACTACTGAGGGGAGCAGTGGGCAAGAAGGGAGAGGTCTGCCATGCCCTGTGGGTAGCTCCCTGCTGTGGAGGGGGCAGATAGCTTGTCAGTCAGCGGGGTGCTTAACCCCTTCAGCCCAGGGCGGCCCCGTTGACCTCTCTTCCCTCAGAGCCCTGAACCCGTTATGGGCCCCGCAGTTTTCATGGGCCTCGCCCACCTGCCGGTTCTCCTCAACCTCCACTCCTCCCACTTCCAGGCCTCAACCCCACCCCAACGACGGCCTGACGGGCTGCGCAAGGGGTTGTGGGAAATGTAGTCTCCAGCCCCCGTGGTTCCCGCGGAGGTTTCTGGGCGGGGCTTCCGCGATCTGCGCAGGCGCGCCCCCGTAACCCCCTCCCACCGTCCGTCCGAATGTTCTGCCGCCTCCGCGAGCGCTGGGGCGCCCCGAGGTGAGCGCGGGTTTGTCCCGGGAGGCCGGGCTCGGGTGAGCGGAGACGCCGGGGGTTGGGGAGCGGGGGCGCGGGCGAGCGGGGGCCCCGGCCGCGTGGAGTCGGGCGCTTTGGAGCCGATTCCCCCCGGAGAGCGCGTGGGGGCGGGGCAGGGCCATTGGGGAGAACGTCCCGGCCTTTCCGGGGTGTCCCCGGCGCGGCCGCCCGGCCCTGACCCCGGACGCTGCCCGGGGTCTTCCCGGGTCGGGGGGACGGGGTCCCCAAGGCGGGGGCCCTGGGGAAGCGCGGGTCCGCCTGTGCACATGCGCACTGACTCCTCTGGACCCCCGAAAGTCGGGCGGTGAGGGAGAGGAGAGCCAGGCTGCGTTTCTGGGCGGGGTTGTATTGCGCCCGGGGCCAGATTCATGGACCCAAGGTGGGCTGGTGACGTTGCTCAGGTTGCCAGGATGGAGGCAGCCCCTGTGGGGGTGGGGAGGTCCCGGGTTTAGGGGGGGGGTTTCTGCTGCGTTAGAGGCTTGTTGTCTGAATTTCCAGGCTCCTTTCGCATTCCCGCCCCCAGGCGGCGTCCTGCTGGCTTCTGCATTAGGCCTCCATCCTGGAGGTGCGCACCCAGGGGGACTGTGTCCCTGTTGGGGTGTCCACGGAGAGGAGGGCGAGAGGCGGCGCGGAGCCACTGCTGGGGTGTCCTGGCAGAACAGTGCGTTCGGGGCGTCGTCTCGTTGGAAATCGTGTCCACACTCTGAAGTGACTCCTCAGCTTTGAGACGGTTGTTCTTGGCGTGACTGTTGATCAGGCAGTGGGCAGTGTCACCTTTTGTTAAGTTATGGTGAACCCTAAACCCAGTTCTGCCACTAATGGACTCGCGGGGCCTCTCCTGCCCCTGCTAGAAGTGTCACACGGCCATCACCCGCAGTGACTCTCTGGTGTCTCCAGGCAGCGTGTGGCGGGCTCTGGACAGGAGACTCCAGGACCCCGTGCAGCTGCCTCCGTCCTCTGTGCTGGACCCCATCGCCCCTCCCAGCGCCGCCTCCAGAGCCCTCATGCCTCTGTGAGAGCAGCGACAATGGATCAATCTCTGGTGAGTGCTGTGTTTGCTTCAGCTTGGGGTGCATTGACTTTATGGGAGTACGTCAACGGACACGTAAATTAGAAACATAGTTTTCTCCAGGGACACATTCCTCACCAGAGAAAGGTGTGGCGTAGATCCAGGCACTTCACATGTCCAGCATGTGTGAAGATGGGGCTCTGCCCTGGTGCTCACGCAACGCAGAGTCAGAGTCTGTGCCTGGGTCGCGGTTGATGACGCTGAAGGTGTGGACTGTGGCTCTTCACCCCGCTGGACAGAAACACTTCCCAGCTCTGCGCTGGTCCGGTGCGGGGTGAGGGAGGAGGGGGAGGATGGGGCCTGAGGACCTGAGTGCAGAATGGGGGTGAAGGAGCCACATGTCTTTTAGAAAGGACAACTGATTTTTTTTTTCAAGGTTTGTTTATTTATTTATAAATGCACTGGGTACAGTCAGAAGCACAGGAGGGTGAGAGAATTCACCAGAGCCAGAGCGGGGAGCAGAGCAGGCAGAAGGACCGAAGTACACTGCTGAGGGGAGCAGCCGGTGGCAGGAGAGGTCTGCGCGCCATGTGGGACCCTCGCTGGTGATCCAACTGGCGCTGCAGAGGCTGCGGGCAGCTTCACAACCCAACGCTCAAACCCTTGGCCCCCCAGGAGGCCCCAACTGAATTTTTAAGGTTTCTGTGCAGTAGCTAAAATCATATACTGTGTCCTGCACAACTCTCGGAGACTTTCATGCAGGCATCAGTCTTGGCATGTGTGCCGTTGAGTCCAATGGGGGATCCTTACATACCTGCCCCTGCCTTTCTCTCAGGTGGCCTGCAAACCGAAGGTGCCCAGTAGACTCTTCAGAGTCCTTTTTTCTGGCCGTTGTTTCCACTGCTCCTGCGCATTTCTCCTTGGTGTGGACTGAATGCATTTCTAGTGACACTCACTACACCCTAAGATGCTCTCCAGTCCAGTTACACTCTCCAAAAGTTCCTGCCATGTTTGAGAACACCATGTGTGACCTTTGGGAAATTTCATTTTTTTTAATTGTTTTAAAGCTTCTTATACTTTTTTTCTTATTCTTTTACTTATTTTCCCTCCTCGATCTGTCATTGACATGTGTAGCACTAAAAGCCTTCTGCTGAAATAGTTGCCAGTTTTTTCCTACAATCCTAATGTGTCTTGCCCTACCCCTAGTTTCCCCCTCTAGCAAACCACTCTGGCCCGTCCCCCGTCTTCCTCCCTCCCTAACTTCTCCACCCATTTCCCTGTTCCCTCTGGTGGTCATCTTTACCTTCAAATGACCCTGTTCAAGATTTATTCAAGTATTTTGGCTGTAAATGTTTTTTGGGTATTTATTTTCCACAGATGAGTCAAGCGATCTCATATGTGTCTTTACTTTTTGGCTTATTTCACTCAAGAATAGCACCTCCCGGGGCCTCCCTGGTGGCACAAGGGTTTGAGATGCAACCGATGGGGCTGTCTGTAGTCTCTGCAGCACAAGTTCCATCCCCTGGCCAGCCAGGGAGCTACCCACATGGCGTAGCAGACCTGACTGGCCTGCTGCGTCCCTCGGCAGTGTATTTCGGTCTATCTGCCTGTTCTGTTCCCTGCTCTGTCTCTGGTGAATCCTCTCACCTTCCTCCCTTGCACCTCTGACCTGTACCCCAGCTCCTGTATGCATAAATAAATAAATATTTAAAAAAAAAAACAATATCACCTCCTTGCCCACCCATTTTATCCTCAGTGTGGCCCTTTGCTCCTTCCTCACAGCCCTGCAGTGCTCCCCTGCGTGTGCTCCACACTTCCTGCCCTGCCTCTGCTAAAGGGATGTAGTTGGGGCCATGACTGGGCAGTTGGAAACACAGCTGCTCTGCTCATGGATGGGATAAATCTTTTTGTGTTTGAGTTTTCCCGTGAGGATAATGTGTAGAAGTATTGCAGATGCTATGGAATTTCCGTTTTTATTTTATTTTATAGAAACCTCTGCACCCTCATCCACAGGGTCTGTTCCGAATGTCATGGCCACCAGCCGTGGGTGAGAGCTCCCTTTTCTCTGTGTTCTCTCCAGCATTGTTCATTCCATATTTTTTTTTTTTTTTTTTAGTGTTTCACTTTTTTAAATACTATTTTACATAATTTTACATCATTTTCATTTTTGCACAGTGTAATCATTTACATCTTTGTTGTAGTCCCCATAAAATTCTCACCCCTCACCCCCTGTTTTGTATAAATCCATTCATTTTCATTTGGGCCTTCTCAAGGGGTGAGGTGGCATCTAAGTGTGCTTTTAATTTACATTTCTCTTAAAATAAGTTAAGGTGAACATTCCTATTGTCTGTAGGATGTCAGAATTCCCTTTCTAGAGAAGAGTGTATGTAGTTCCTTTGTCCATTTTTTAATTAAGATTTATTCATTTATGCATACAAGAATTGGGGTACAGGCGAGAGGTGCAGAGGGTGAGAGGATTCGCCAGAGACAGAGTGGGGAGCAGAACAGGCAGACTTACTGAAACACACTGCTGAGGGGAGTAGTGGGGAGTCAGGAGAGGTCTGCTGCGCCATGCGGGTTGCTCCCTGCCAGCCAGGGATCAAACTTGTGCTGCAGAGGCTTTGGAGAGCTTCATAGGCTGCGTCCCAACCCCTTGTGTCACCAGGGAGGCCCCCCTTTGTCCATTTTTAATTGAGTCATCAGTTGGTTTCTCACATTGTTTGGGGATGTTATAAATTTTGGAATGAACCCCTTGTCACATGTGTAGCATGCAGATTCTTTTTCTGTTCTGTAGACTGCCTTTCAGTTTTTGGGCTGGTTTCTTTTAAGGTATGAAAGCTTTTAGGTTTAGTGGTGTCCCACTTGTTGATTTTTGCTTTTGTTTTCCTGGGTGTTGGGGTTGTGTTCCCTAGTGCACTTTGGGGCAACTGTCCTTAGTGTGTCCCTATATTTTCTGTCAAGTACATCACCAAATATTTAACCCATTTGGAATTTTATAGATTGATTTATTTATCTATATAAGAGCTGGGGTACAGGCCAGACATGTGGTGAGTGAGAGGATTGACCAGAGACAGAGTGGGGAACAAAACAGGCAGATCTGGTGAAATACACTACTAAGGGGAACAGCAAGGAGACAGGAGAGGTCAGGTGTGCCGTGTGGGTGAGTTCCCTGACTGGGGACGAACTCATGCTGCAGGGGCTGTGGATAGCTTCATAGTGCTTTGCCTTAACTCCTTGCTTCACCAGGGAGACTCCATGTTGCTGTATTAACTCGGTTGGAATTTGTTGAGGATTTTCGCTTCTCTGTTCTTTGGTGGTGTTGGTCTATTTTTCCCTTTTATGCTGTCTTTTTTTTGGAGGGTATCGGCAATGCTGACCTCGTCGTATGTGTTGGTGAGTTTTCCTCCGTCTCCAGTGTTTTGGAAGATGCAAATTTCTTTGTGTTTGCTTCTGTCATGGTCTCTCTGATGATTTATTTTCTGTGTCCCTGAATGCTTGAGTATCTTGTGCTTCTGAATGTAGCTAGTCCCTGTGTTCCGATCTGGTCTCCCGTCTTCAGTCTGCACTTCTCCTTAGTGAGTCAGTCAACTGTGTTTTGCCACTTCTGCCAGTTACACTTGCGCGTGGGCCTCCTGCCCAGGCCTAGTACCACAGGCTCGGCTCCCACCTGACTGCGCCTGTAGCCGTCCCAATGGCACCTGCTGCTCATGCAACATGCAAACCTCGTCCTGTGTTGTGCCCTCCCGTGTGGAATTAGATCCTTCTCAGCCCAGGTCTCCCGCCACCAGAAAGGGATTACTCTGATCCAGAGTTTAGTCTCACCCAATGCAAGTTACTCTTCAGTATTACCTGATATCTTAATGGTTGCTAACAACAGCACCGCCGTGCATGCGTGCATGCGTGTGAGTGTGTGTGTTCACTTTCTTTCACATTACAGTTCTCATTCTTGGCCAAACCTGATGGATGTGTTTTCTCAGTGATGAGGTTGCTCCCCTTTCTGCCTCCGACTGGCCAGGGTGTGGTGACACCTCAGAGTTCAGGGGGAGAAAGTACTCAGGGGTCAGTGGGACACGTTTGAACAAGGGTCATGACACAGACACTCGCTGAGTAAAACCAGGTAGCGCAGATGTTCATCATTTGACCTTTGGTTGTTGGGAGTTTATGTCAGTGATGCTCAATGTAGTTTTTAATAAAGAGCTTCAGGTTTCTGTCATCAAGTCTGGAGTATAGTAGGTGCGTTTGCATTTGTCATACATATGATTCTTGCTGAAGTTACGGTTAATGGTAGATTTTTTTAATTTTGATAGATGTTTATAGAATATTGATAGAATGAATATATTTTGCAACCTAATTTTACCAGCTCTTCTGTCACCTGTGACCATGCAAGTGTTTCATTTTATAAAACTTTGCACTGTGGGGAGCAGCAGTGGCTGCTCTTCTGCCCAGCATGACTGTTGCTTCTTTTTCTCCTTTTCCTAGAAAACGTGGCCCTCCATTCATTCATTCATTCATTCATTCATTCATGTTTTAAAAGATGAATTTATTTATGCAAAAACTGAGGTATGGGCCAGAGGTGTGGGAGGGGGGAGGATTCACCAGAGACAGAGTGGGGAGCAGAACAGGCAAATCTATTGAAATACTCTGCTGAGGGGAGCAGTGGGAGAGTCAGGAGAGGTCTGCCACACCATGTGGGTAGCTCTCTGGCTACCAGTGTTATACAGCCATCACCACCTTCCAGATTTTTTCATTTCCCAGTAATAAAATACTGTACTCATTAAACTCTCGCTCCCAACTGCTCTGTCCATCAGCCCCTGTATCCACCATTTACTTTCTGTTTTCAAGAGTTTGACAACTCAGACCTGTATGAATGGAGTCTTATTACACCTTGTTTTCTTGGTGAATCTCTTATTTTATTGCATTGTTAACTGTTTTGTCATTTCATAGGTATCGTACAGGAGTGAATTCATATTGTAGTGTGTGTCATTGTTTAGTTCCATTGTGAGGCTCATTAATAATATGTGTATTTTCCAGTCTTATTTATCCATTAATCCATCACCTTGGGTTGATTTTGCTTTGGGCTGTAATGACTGGTGGTGCAGTGACAGTAGGTGAGCAAACGTCTCTGCCCGTTCCTGCTGTCCCTGCTATTGGTGAACACCCCGGGGTGGGGGTGGGTACTCCTGTCATTCTGAGTTCCCTTTTCCCAAGAATCACCTTCCTGTCTTCCCTCCTGGCTGCATCATTTATGTTTGCCCCAACAGTGCGCAAGGGAGCCAGGTCCAAATTTTTGCCAGTACTTGTTCTTTTCTTTCTTTTTAAATCATTGCGATCCCAGCGGACGTAAAATCTCATCTCTTGTACTTCTGATTCATTTTTCCTTCGTGACTGATCGTATTGAGAACGTTCATGTGTTAGGACCCGCTTGGGTATGTGATTTGCAGAGCTGTGTATTCCAGTCCTTTACTCATTGCTGCACATTTCCATTTTGAACAGGGTCGAAAGCGTGAGGGGATTGTATTGTCCCATTTCATCATATGGTCCTTTTATGGCATCCTGAGCCCACTCCTGCTGGGAGGTCCCCGTGAGTTTCTGTGCGCAGACATGAGCCATCCACCTTCTCTTTCTTTGCTGTTGTTTTATTTCTCGTATTAGTGTTTTAATCAATGAGCCTGTAAATAAATGCATTTTTGTTTTCCTAGAACTGGGATGTGCCGGGTTACCTTGCAAGAGTTGCTGTCAGTGCATCAGGCTCATCGTGTCCTGGATGCTGTTGTGTCTTTGCATTTGTTTTATTCATTGTTTAACCCTCCAGGTTTCTTTATTCCAGCAAGTCTCTGCCCTTGGTTCCGCTACATGCATTGCTTACTGTTTTGTCATTTCACTGGCAGCGTACAGGAGCTCCTGTGTGTGTGAACACGGGTGTGTGTTATAGTCTGCTCACTGGGTTTTCCTTTCCAGAGTCGCTTTACCTGTGGCTTTCATTAGTTTTCCAAGAATGAATTATAACTAGTTATGACCATTTTTATGTATGTTGTCTTTTTGTTGTTGTTGTTGTTACGTAGCGTCACCCAAACCCATTGTGAATAGGGGACACTGAGCGTCTTTGTTAGTCCTTCTCTCACTGGGAATGTTGATGTCGCCTGTGACTGTCAAGGACTTGATTTGTGTTGAGGAAAAATCCTCTGAATCCTTTTTTAGCTAATACAAATGGAAATTTATTTTAATGGGTTCCTATTCTATATGTATGTGGAGGTGCACAGGATTTACTACACAGGAAAGGAAATGATGGAATAAATTTACGGATTTCATAAGATGTTTGTTTTCTTATACCGTGTATCTTATTTTTCAAAACTCTTTCATTGCTATGATCTATTTTTTTCTTTCTCGAAAAGAAATATTTGTCTCTTCTAGTTGTTTTTCCTCTTCTTTCAATACCTTTTGTTCTGGTCAACGTGTTCTCCCCTACGGTGATGAAAACTATCAATAATATCCTGGAGATTCCCATATTCTTTCTTTTCTTTAATATTTATTTTATGTATGCATATAAACGCTCGGGTGTAGGCCACAGGTGCAGGGGGTGAGAGGATTCACCAGAGACAGAGCGAGGAACAGAACAGGCAGACTGACTGAAATACACTGCTGAGGGGAGCAGCGGGGAGACAGGAGAGGTCTGCTGCGCCTTGTGGATAGCTCCCTGGTTGGGGATTGAATTTTTGCTGCAGCAACTGCCGATAGCTTCATAGTGCTGAGACTTAAACTCTTGTGCCACCAGGGAGGACCTGATTCCCAAATTTCTGTTTTCACCTTAGACTTCCTGATCTACCAGACACATGTCCAGTTGCGTGTGGAATTCCAGTGTCTACCAGCCTGTCATGCAGACAGCATATTAGGAAAACATTCCTCGTACCTCAGCCACCAAGTTATTACCAAGTTCTCCTCCCCTTTGTCCTTCCATTTTAGAAGTGATGACCTGATCTGTCTTCTTCTGACTCTGTCAGCTGAACATCTTTTCTTAAAATTTTATTTTATATATATTTTACATCATTTTTTATTTCTGCACAAGTTATGCATTTTTCATCTTGGTTATAGTCCCCATACATCCCACCCCCCTTATTTTAACCCTAATCTCTCCACCCCCCATAGTGCATCTCTGGTTTATACTTGCTTGTAGTTGAACATCTCTTACCTTTGCTTTTTCCCACCTCATTGCTTGAACATCCTGTTTTCGGGTTCAGTTTTTGTTTACTGTGAGTTGGAGATAGCAGGCTTTGAGGTCACGGGAGTAAAATATTGGCACAAAGTTGCACATGCTTTTCATTTGTTATGAAGCTCCTTTAGCACATGATTCCGGGTGTATGTCTGTTACACCTGCCAGCCAGGCTATCAGCTCCTCAAGGAGCCAATTTTATTCATCCTTTTATTCTTAGAATCATAGACACTTCAAATATATAAGGTAAGCTATAGTTTACTTGTAGGACCAAAGGGGTGAATGTAGAGGTGAGGCTCTTTCAACTGCGAATTCTATACAGGACCGAAGACCCACAAAATAAGATGTGTTTGCACTTGCTCTGTCTGACCCAGGCTGCCGGCCCTGAGATGAGAAATGTTCCCTCAGAAGGGACGGTGTCATTTGAAGATGTGGCTGTGAACTTCACGTGGCAGGAGTGGCGGTACCTGAGTGAAGCTCAGAGGACCCTGTACCGGGATGTGATGCTGGAGACCTGCAATCACCTGGTGTCCCTAGGTGAGGAAGCTCCAGTGTAACACTCTAGTGCAATGCTGTCTTCTGCACTGATAAGTGTGCACTTGCTTATGAAACTGAGTGTTGGTGAGGTTGAACATGGCAGGCAGTGTACATTGTGGGTGTTTCGGTTTTCGTTTGGAAAGATTCAGATTGGCCTCTTTTGCACAGCTCTTCACACTGCATTTGTTAGTTTTCAAAGACTGAAGTTGAACTTGATCGAAGACCAACACTGTTTCTCATCACAGGGCACTGTGTTACCGATCCTGAGGAGAGCATCAGGTCGGAGCAGGGATTACAGCCGTGGACTGTGGACGATCCCCCAAACCAGGACCTCTCAGGTCAGTCAGTGCTTGCCAGGCCGGGAGGCTGAGAGGAGGCTGGGAGTGTGGCCAGTGATATTGGCCACACTGAGGTGCTTTTTCAGTGTCCAATCTTGGAGAGTGTGTCTGCATATATCAAACTGATTCTTTATTCAGTTTCCAAATATTACTCTCTTGTGAATTTCGTCCTGCTCTTTTAAAAATGGTTGTTTATGTTCTTAAACCAGTATGCAGTCCCTGATACATGGGGATGATTCTGCAGTAATCACATATCTCTATTCTCTCTCTTAGTGTATTCTCATAGACTGTTTTCTTTAGGTTCCTGTTGAGGAATTTTTTTTTATTCTTTCTGTATGTTTATGGGAAGTTTAGCCAGTGGTAAATTTTCTGAGCGGGGAGAGCAACAGTACTCACAGAAATGATCTTTACATTCTGAAGTTATACACTCTGTGAGGAAAGAATATGTAATAAATACATTTATTAATAGAGAGGTAAAGCCACAGAGGATCTTTGACCAGCATGAGTTAAACAGAGTGGAGGATGTTGTTTTTGTGTGTGCTCCATACGCATCATTATAGAGATTAATTATTTTCTTTCAGAGCTCAGGTGAGGTGAATGGGTTGCACTGACATGTCATATCTATAGTTCCCTCTGCAGTCTGGGATAGAGGCTATGTATTGCTATTGGAGATGTCACTGAGCAGGTGACTAACTCAAAAGGGATAGAGAGGCGTTGACTGGAGAGTTATTTAGAACATGAGTAGTGTTTCAGGGCAAGCCTTGTGACCGCCCTCATAGTAATTGTGAGGCTGAGGAGGACCCAGAATTGTTCAGCGTTGGAAGGGATGTTCTGTGACATGGGAGGGGGAACCTGAGGTGGTGGTTTCTAAAGCCATGGCACCAAGAGTTTCAGGTTGGGGGCTCATACCTTGAGGAGCAGTGTGACCTGTGCAATTCCACCTTCTCGTGGGAATCGTTGGGAGGAAAGTAAAGGAATCTACGACAGTGTGATGTAGCTGAGAGTCACACACAACATAGAAACTGGAGCTGCTATGAACAAAGCAGAAACACAGGTTCCAGGGAGTGCGTTGAGACCACCAGGGTGTTGCTCTCAGAAGGATGTGAGAAAAGACTTTAACGCTGATAGCACAGGATGGATGCAGAACTTTTTTCCTATCACTTAGCAGGAACGTGGGACACAATGATGAGGTGGAGTTTGCTGCATGTATTAGGATTCTGAGCCTTAATGTGATATGATATTTAAATATGAACTGACGGGTCTCTTCCATGGAGGGAAGCACATGCCTCTGAGAACCTCTGCAGGTGACCGTGGCCAGGGCCAGAGTCGAAAGAAGAACTAAGGAAATGGAGAAGCAGAGTCCTTGTGTCTCAGCAGGCCTCTTGCTTAAAGTGCCTGGGCAATGACTGGGTCTCTCAGTCCACGGGTTTCTGGGAAAGCCATGGCCTCTGCAGGGCTTGGTTATTCAGAAAGTACCCTCAAGAGTTGCACAGGGTCAGTCTAAGAAAGAAGGTGTGTAGGATCTATGTTGGGTGAAATGCTTCTGGTTGAAATCGACAACTCTAGTTAAAAGACTATATTTAGCAAATATTTATGATTTTATAAAACCATTGTGAAATTAGATTTACTGCTTTGTTATCCTGGTTTGGCATTAGAAAATCTGTTAATTGGGGCCTCCCTGGAGGCCTAGGGATTAAGTCTCTTAGCTCTCACTATTATGGCCTGAGTTTGATCCACAGTGAAGGAGTTCACCGACTTTGGCACAGCAAATCTCTCCAGTCTCACCTGCCGCTCCCCTCAACAGTGTATTTCAGTCAGTCCGCCTGTTCTGGTCAACACACTCCCCTACAGCACACTCCCCTACAGCACCCCCACTCCTGCACCTCTGGCCTACACCCCAGATCTCCTATGCTAAAGTAAAAAATACCAAAAAATCTATTCTCCCCATAATTTACTATGGGCAAAACACATGAATCAGAAAATTAATACCTGTAAATTATTTTGTAATATAGGAACTTTCGTGCCGCTTGGTAGTATTCACTCAAAATGCTTCCTTTTTAGAGACATGGTCATTTTTATCTCACTTTAGATGTCCATACTGTGGATCACCTGACTCAGGACAGCCCTGCAAATCAGGGCAGACATGTGTGGCAAGTTCTTACCACCAGCAGCAAAATACCATCCAAGGAGAGAACTGACTTAATGGAAAAAAACAATTTGCACTCAATTCATTGTTTGAACCATAGTATCAAAAATGAAAACAATTCAGCGATGATGCCTGAGGACTTTACTATACATAGGACCATGATGATCCCTGGTGAGCCTCATGAAGGGCATGCTAGAGAGAACGAGGAGGTTTTAGTAGAATGAGGGAACCCATCAAGTATCCTGAGCACCTTAGTCACCAGGTGATTCAGAACTTTCAACAGCCTTTTGAATTTTGTGAACAAGGAAAAGTCGTGAGTGAAGAAATAGTATTTACACCTAGAGGAGCCCTTCTGGAAGGGATTGTCCGTAAATGCAATGAGTGCAGGGACACCCGTGATGAGGTGCCTTTCGTTGTCCGAGACAGAACCCAAGGAAGACAGACTCCCTGCAGTTGTAATGAAAAGGGGAGAGCTGCGGAGATGACTCCAGTTCATTTGAATCCTCCTAGGTATCTTGAACATAAGCAGCAGAAATGTTGTGAAAGTGGGGCCAGTCTCAGAAAAACATTTCACACCTATCCGTGTGAGAGTACCCAGTTAGGAAAGAATCATTTGGGATATAAGAGATATGGTGAAGCGGCCTCTAAAACCTCTGTTCTGACTGAACATCAGAAAACACAAGCAGACGATCAACCTGATGAGTGTGGGGGCACCGCTGAGATTTCCTTACAGAGGGGATACCAGAGAAATCTCACTGCAGTGAAGTTGTTTGGCTCTAACGATTATGTGAAAACTTACTCATGGAAGACTGCCCTCACTGTACATCCACAATCTCAAACGGGAGTGAAGCGCTACCCGTGTCAGGTGTGTAAGAAAACTTTCAGGTGGAAACCTGGTTTTAGTGTCCATCAGAGAATTCATACAAGGGAGAAACCCTATGAATGTCAGGCGTGCAGGAAAGTGTTCTCCTGTAAGTCAGTTCTTGTTCTACATGAGAGGACTCACACTGGAGAGAAATGCTATGAATGTGAAGGGTGTGGGAAAGCTTTTTCCAGGAAGGCTCACCTTACTGAGCATCAGAGAATTCACACTGGAGAGAAGCCTTACGAATGTCAAGAGTGTAGGAAGACTTTCCTCTGGAAATCATCCCTCAGTCTCCATCAGAGAATTCACACTGGAGAGAAACTATGATTGTGAAGGGTGTGGGAAAGCTTTTTCTAGTAAGGCACACCTTATTAGACATCAGAGAATTCACACTGGAGAGAAACCCTATGAATGTGAAGGGTGTGGTAAAGCTTTTTCCAGTAAATATTACCTCAGTGAGCATCAGACAATTCACAGTGGAGAGAAGCCTTATGAATGTCAAGAGTGTAGGAAGACTTTCCCCTGGAAATCATCCCTCAGTAAACATCAGAGAATTCACACTGAAGAGAAGCCTTATGAATGTCGAGTGTAGGAAGACTTTTCTCTTGAAATCAAACCTCAATAAACATGACAGAATTCACACTGGAGAGAAACCCTATTATTGTGAAGAGTGTGGGAAAGCTTTTTCTAGGAAGTCATCCCTCAGTCTCCATCAGAGAATTCACACTGGAGAGAAACTCTATGATTGTGAAGGGAAAGCTTTTTCTAGTAAGGCACACCTTATTAGACATCAGAGAATTCACACTGGACAGAAACCCTATGAATGTGAAGGGTGTGGGAAAGCTTTTTCCAGTAAGTGTTACCTCAGTGAGCATCAGAGAATTCACACTGAAGAGAAGCCTTATGAATGTCAAGTGTAGGAAGACTTTCCTCTGGAAATCATCCCTCAGTAAACATCAGAAAATTCACACTGGAGAGAAACCCTATGATTGTGAAGGGTGTGGGAAAGCTTTTTCTAGTAAGCCACACCTCATTACACATCAGAGAATTCATAGTGGAGAGAAATCCTATGAGTGTCAAGAATGTGGGAAGGCTTTCCGCCAGAAATCATCCCTCAGTAAACATCAGAGAAGTCACAGTGGAGAGAAGCCTTATGAGTGTCAAGAGCGTGGGAAAACTTTTTCCAGTAAGCAAGCTCTCACTGGACATCAGAGATGTCACTGGACAAAATCCCTATGATTGTGAAGAGTGGGAAAACTTTTCAGGAAGTCAGCCCTCACTAGGCATGACAAACTCCACACTGGAAGGAAATGCTATGAATGTCAAGAGTGGACAGGCAGGCCTCCCCTGGTGGTGCAGGTGGTTGAGCGCAGCGCTGTGAAGCTGTCCATGGCCTTTGTGGTGGGAGTTTGATTCCCTGGCTGGCCAGGAGCAACCCCATGGTGCGGCAGACCTCTCCTGTCTGGCCCGCTGCGTGTATTTCAGCATTGTATTTCGGTCAGTCTGCCTGTTCTGTTCCCCGCTCTGTCTCTGGTGCATCCTCTCACCCTCCCACACATCTGGCCTGTACCCTGGTTCTTGTATGCTTGAATAAATAAAAATCTTTTAAAAATATTCAAAGTTAGGAGCTCAAACCACATCATGCAGCTGAGATCAATGGGAACTGACATAGTTTCAATCTTAATTGCTTGGAGTTACCTGGTTCACTCTGTTCTCCCAAGTTCATGCAGTGATGATGTCGTTGTTCCTGTTGCCGTTGCTTCTAGTATCCTCTTAAGTTCCTGGGCGATGCTATGCCTGTCCACAGCAGCTGTCTGTCTACATGGCACACTGCATGTTGCGTGGGTAAGTGGTCTCTCTGGGTTTTCTAACTTAGTCGTCACATTCTGTCCAGTACTCTAAGTCTTTGTGGTGCCCCCCGATGCTGGAATTGCTCACCACCAAAATGTCCTCCTCTAGAAGGAAATGTTGAACTGTGTGCTCTTGGCT